CGACTGCTGGGCTGAAGATGTTATGACGGCATGTAGACCCAAAGTTCAAATGCCAAACAATGTAATGAAATTGGTGACACAGACACTATTATAAGCACATGGCCAATAGGTCTGAATCTGTACACACAGTCTTTACACACTATCTAGCTTCTTAATCTTTCTGATTATTGTCTTACTGGTTTTTATTATTGTCTCTGTGTTCTTGTAGGAACTGGTCTCAGTAAATACCGAGGGCAGAAGGGGAGACATGTCTGTGCTGGGACACATTAAACACAAGTTGGTTTGTTCACCGGACTTCCAGGCTCTTCTGGAGAACCGAGCCTGAGGAACGGCTGCTGGAAATCGAATGCTGTGTATCCCTTTGTGTGGAAATATTCCCATGTACTGTCACTGATGGAGAACTCGGAGTGAATGAACGGAAATTATTTATATGTGCAAGGAAATTTATTTAGAAGAATTTATGAGTTGTCATTCAGGAGTGAGACACTATTACACATGTAAATATTGTGGGTTAGAATAAATAATACATTTATAAAATCTGGGTTTGAGTTTGAAACTTTAATAAAGTTAATAAAAAAGTGTCATAAATACCTCTTTTCTTTTTTCTTTTGTTAAATTTATTGAATAAGCCCCCTAATGGTGGAAATTGCCAGATAGGCACCTTTCAAATATGTTAAAGTCTGACTACATGTAGTTGATATATATTGTTTTGTTAGGGAGAGGATGTTATTTTGAGGTTATTAAGTCATGATAATTTTTATACATTTTACAACACAATTCCTCAAAAGTAATATTCGTAGTCAGCGCCTAAAACTCATTTATAGCCTCACCCTGATAATGTCCGGCGACTGAAGAAAATTTACCGGTCATAAATATTTTTTATGAAACTGTTGTGACACCAAATACCAGTGAAAATGTACAGTAATTGAATAAAGTAGGCTAATCAAATGTACAATAACACTACATAGTCACTGTATAAATAAAAAACATAGATTCATCCTTATTAAAGTTATTCAGTCAAGAGCAGTGAGTGTTTGATTAACATTACAAATGTAGACAGCAGCAGGTTTATGAGGCTGCTGTCACTTTAAGACTGAATGACTGATAGATACACATGCGCTTTTCTTTCTCAACCGTTCACGTTCATTTAAGACGTAACCAGTGTTGGGGTAGTTACTCAAAAAAGGTAATTAGTTACTAGTTACTTCTGTAAATTGTAATGAGATTACTTTACTAGTTACTGCGTTTGAAAAGTAACTTCACTACTTATTACTTTACTTTCCTGTTTCTTAATTTATGGACAAATATCATAGCCCTATCATCACTTAGCCTGTCTACATAGTGTTTATTGTATAAATATATACAAAATAGCATGTAAAACCATATGAAAGAACAATATCCCTGTCTGCACAAGGAAATATATCTCACTGTAAAATCCACAAACAACAGGATAAAGGAGGCTATGGTGCGGTCATTTTAAAATGGGGTCAACACACAAGTTTTAAAACACAGGCTTTGGGAAACATGAGAATAAACTCTTCTCCTGAGAACAAAACAAGCTTTTTATTCGACTCATGGCAATAAAAATAAAAAATGAAGTGGTCAATGAAAAATAATAAAATAAAGGTCACTTTTACATTTTTAATCTTAATTTAAAATGCATTTTTCTTGGCGATTCAATAGTCGGCAGGGGAAGCATTCCTCTACAATGAACCCTGCAACAAGCCTGTTCATTTTGTTTTGTGTTACCTGCTGTGCTCCAAGACTTGAGAAGAGTTTTTGTAACAGCGCGCGCGGCGCCGAATCCGAGGATGAACGACTTCAAGAAGCCGAATCTGCCCGAGCATGTAGCCTACGTCTCACCGTGACCGCACCGGCACACAGTTTGCGTGTCTAAATCAGTTGCTTATGTTTACAAAATGAGCCTACAATAGCATAATAAGCATTTTTAATAGAAAGATCCATGTTTTATAAAATGTCCACGAAACTTAATGAAATGTTTAGTGAAATTAGAAACTATTTAAGAGATTGTTGATTTAGTTCTATAGTCTACATACATGTTTTTATATCCACATTTTGTTCTAATGTCACAAGTAATAATCTCAGGGTTTACTGGATTTTACGTACACGATTCTTTTTGTAGTGTTATTGGTGGTGATGTAGCCTACTAAAATAAACATCATCACGTGTGGAACTTTCTTCTTCTCAGCGTTGATTCCTGATGGTTAAGAGGACAATTACTCGAGTCGCCCCGTCGTTTCACAGAATAGTACAATGGCGAGCGCGTCGAGTATAAACGCCTCGTCCGTTTGGGGAGGTGCGCGTGCAGTCAGCGGAGACTCGCGCTGCAGAGACCCCCTGTCTCCGTCTCCGTCTCCATTTCCCTCTCTCCTTCGCACCGGCAGCTATGTCACTCAAATCGATCTCTATGGCAACGGTGCGCACGCACCACTAGACAGAACTTTACACACAAGCAAACACGGCTTGGGTAACGCAGGAAAGCGCGTTCCTATAGTATAGTAAAGTAGTGTAGTTACCGATATTTTTAGTGTAATGCGTTACTTTACTTCGTTACCCAAAAAAGTAATATCGTTACTGTAATCCGTTACTTTGTAACTCGTTACCCCCAACACTGGACGTAACTGACTGTTTACTAGGATACACGCTGAGAGGATTTTTTGACAATTTTGTGTGATTTTGTCCGTTCAAGCGCAAGAAGACGTGAAAGAGAGCTCAATTTAGTCAGAGACGGAGCTTTCTGGGTAAGTTAATGAATTCGCGAGTAATGAATTGAGTTTCATTTGGCATCTTTTCATGCTTGAATATTTCAATTGGCAAGGCTTAAACTGATGCAGCCCTGGCCCGTCAACTGTCCTCAGCGTTGTTCATGTTCTCACAACATCGCATTGTTAGAATACATAAAAATGTTACTAGCATGCTGCCGATTGACAGTTTCTTACTCGCCTACACCGATTTTTACAGGCATTTGGCGCTTGGCGTGTGTTAATTTTAGGCCCTGTTTGCTGTCACCACTGTTTGGATTTAGAACTGATATTACTTCATGACTATTTCTATGACATTAGGAGTATTTATTGTTTTGCTAAGTGCTGTTTGTTGCAATTTGGCACACTATGGTAAAATGTAGTGTTTGCATAAAATACACTACAATTAGACCTATATTAAAGTCCCCCTGTGGTGAAAATCCAGCTTTTAATGTTGTTTATGTGGTGTTTGTAATATGCTTTAAGACAAACCATGTGCAAATTCATAAGTCGACAGCATTGCTGAGTATTTTCTGCTTAAAACTGCAGTGAACCAAAGACAGTCTCAAAAACACGGTTTGAAATCGCTGGTGTTTCTGACGTCACAAACGACCTTGTAACCAATCAGATCAACGTGTGATCGTCAACCAGTGGATTGTCTTGTCCAAATACCCACACTTGCGGTCTTGGTCACTTGAGAGAGTGTCCATGCAACAGGAAGTGCACAAGACCGTCCCATGTCTTAAAAATGCCAAAGTGCAATGCCTTAATGCACACTAAACCCGGCCACACTATCTTGAATACCGCTCCGGAGCGTTATTTGAGGCTAAGCGCGTATCCCATCATGCATTATGTTCGGGAAATCGTGAGATGTCGAGGAAAACATTCCACTGTCATTTAAATTAATTAGATACATATAATTTGGTAGTAAAAACATAAAGTGTTGCACATTTTATTGGTGCAAAGATGACGAGTATGGTATGTGTAACTGTTTTTAATCATTTAAGTAGAAGCACAACAATTTTAAATTTGGGTCTTCTGTTATTTACATAGCGACTACTGAAACACACATGTACAGGTTTATTTTAAAATGCAAAGTATTGAAAATATAATAATTAAAAGCTCTGTACACACATTTTTTGCAAGACTAAGTGTGTCCCATCGAGTAGCCTACTACAACACACACACTTGCGGTCTTTACGCCTACTTGAACACTTGGGCCAAATAGAGGAAATACATCATGCAAGTGGTCAAGTGCAAAAACCGCAAGTGTGGGTATTTGGACAAGGCAGATCTCTGAGCTGCTGTGAGTGAGTGGAGGCGGGGATAATTTGCATATTCATAGAACTGCGTATACTAAATGAGCCAAGGGTGTAGTTACATTCAACATTTTAAGGCATGAAGGATTTTTTTTTTCTAGAAACAAACGTTTAAATATGTAATTTTGGTGATCAAATATGAGTTTTAAGGGATAAAATGATTGACTGCAGCCTGCAGGGAGGTTTTAAAAATTTAAAGTTGACAAAAGTAAAATGTACTAAATTGCATCATGTTACATACTACACACACATAGCCTATACTAGAATACATGTTTGGCTGAAGTTATTTAAGGCAGACGACACCTTCTTTTTTTTAGAACAACATGGACAAATGGTTTAAAATAAATCAAAAAGGGTCCGTTTTGATTTCATGTTGACTTTAAATATGCATTGTAGGTAAATAAGTTTTGTAAATGGTGGAACCGGGACATTCTTCCCACGGTAGCTAAAGATGGCAATGGCAAAGTTGGTTTGCGTAAAGTTCAGGCTGCATTTATTTGATTAAAAATACAACAAAAAAAATAATAATATTGTTAAATTATATGTCAATTTAAAATAACACTTCTATTTTAATATATTTTAAATTCCAGCACCTGTTCACTCACGAAGTCCACGTGATAAAGGCAAGCTCAAGACTGCTGATGTCACTGCATTGATTACAGCTCGTGTCGTGATAAACACTTGTTGTGAGAAACGTTTTGGAAAATACAAGTTCCTAAAACTTTCAGGAACTTCTGGTCTAGTGTGTGGAGAATGCGGCAGATGTAGGCTAGGCTATTTCTCGAACTAAGTGTTTTCCCAAACAAACTGGTTTGTGAGCGGTATTTACTGGTGTAAACCTTCATTTGTTTTCCTTCCTCCTAAAAGTACAAACCCCGCCCATCTCATGACTTCCCTTCACTTCGCACACTATATGACACCGATTATGCGACTGAACGATCTGGCTCCAGGTCCGAGTGAGTGAGAATGGGCTTCAGCGCGCTCCCGTGCGTGTGCGTGTGCGTGTGTGTTCTCGTGTTATGCGCCGCGTCTCCGGTAAAACACCTGCAGAGAAACGAGCCTGAGAACAACACACCGATCATCGGTAAAACTCTTCTATTCATAGTACTACATGTCAACATATGATTCAATAGCATCCCCTTCATTTCTTGTTTTGCTATCAATCTAAATGTGTTCTTAACATCTTCAAACTTCGTCTGTAGGGATTCTGACGCAAGAGGTTGACAGTGAAGCTATGAAAATATTTGGAAAGACTTACATCCCTTCATCATATGTGAAGTACATCGAATCCGGGGGAGCCAGAGTTGTGCCAGTTAGGTAAGTCTAGTTCTGTTCAGTTCAGTTCTTGTTAGCATTGATTCGATTCAGTTCAGAAACCGATTCATTGATTCGAATTCCGTTTATTACAGCAAAGTGTTCCCTTGTGAAAAAGAAGTACACTTTTGCATACTTTGCATGAGTTTTTAGCGAAATAATAAAAGAAAAGGCTATAAGTACACGAGCTGAATGTAATGTTTAATTGCAACTTAATTGCATTTCACTCGTTTTATAGTTTACATTTTAAATGCAATTAGTTTAACTTAAGAGTGCCTTTTCGACCCATTTTAGTATCATAAGTAGCCTACGTCTTAATATGTAATTTCATAAATCTGTTGATTTTGAAATATGGTGAAAGTTTACTGCTGGATATTGCTATAAATTTAATATTGAATAACACTGTTGTTTATAATTAATAATCAAGTAGGCCTTTTTTAGTATGTTCGTCAACACATAAAATAAGTTTACTTTTTTGAAGCGCGAAAAAAGATTATTAAAACATAATGATCTAAAATTGGTACAACTTTTTTTTTTTTTAAGTTGAAAGTGGCCTTTTATTTAAGTAATATTATATTATGTGCAATTACAGTTATTTTTTTTATAAATATACTTTCGAGATTTGAATTAGAGTACAAGTGTACATTCAATACAATTAAGCACATTTCTTTTTCACAAGTGTCCCCATGCCATTTATGTTCATTATTTAGTCAGGAAATAATATATCAAATATGAATACACAAAACTTGTGTGACTAAGTTGTTAACCATTTCAGCCATATATAAATAACAAAAACTGTAAATTAAAAGAGAATCCCGCATTATCGAATATGAAATGAAATAATGATTAGCTGATTTAATAATGAAATTAACATTTTATGTTACAGGCTAAACCAGAGTTTTGCAGAACATGAAAAAATCTTCAAGTCAATAAATGGGTATGTTCTTACAGTATTCTCACACTAAACTCAAAATAATGAGTTCCTTATTGTTATGATGACGTTTCCTGAAGTATTCATACATGATCGTTACATTCTCAAGATTTAGGTCATTAGATACATATAGAAAATGATGTATTACAGCACAGAATAGATGATTGAAGTCACCTAGATTTCATCAATTCTACCAGTTTATAATTAGTTCTGAATGTTTATCTGTGCAGACCTACATTTATGCCCTAAATACTGTATTAACACCTCGTGTCATGTCTGAACGAAGCAAAATACCAAAGCATAACTTTCATAACATATCTGTCTGCCAATCAGTCTTATTCTCATCGGAGGAGCTGTGAACCTGGAGACATCTGAGTTTGCTCACACTGCTGGGATTTACTTCAGACTGGCCCTTAAGGTCAGTGAATTACAGTAAAAGTCATGTTTTTACTGTAAGTGATGATCAATGTGCTCCTCGTGTCTCTTGAACTATTAGTTAAATGCCACTGTCTTTATTTCAGTAGTTTTCCTGTTTCTTTAGCATAATCTTATGACCTAAAATGAAGGAAATTACCACTGATAGTTTAAAAAAAATGTCTGTTCTGTTCTCAGGCACACGAGGAGGGCGAGTACTTTCCCATCTGGGGAACATGCCTGGGGTTTCAGCTGCTCACTGTGCTGGTGTCCGGACAGAACCTGTTGAGTAAGACAACAGCCGAGAATGTCACTTATCCACTCAACTTCAGCTCAGGTACTCATACACACTGTACTGTAGTCTTAAAGGGGTGGTACAGGATTTTGGACATCGGACCTCATTTCCAAGTTAGCCTTAGTGTTATTTATCAGTGGAGACAGTTTTCAAAAATGTTCATCCAGTCGTTCCAGTTGCATAGTTCGCCGGTGCTAGGCTAGCGCGAGTCAACGGTAACTGCTAGCCTGCCATTAAAAACAGTTTTACCCACTCCACAGTAAACCCAAATAAATTATAACGCCAGACTATCGATGTAAATGTCTGTTGAGAGAATAATGTTAGAAATCAAACTACTCTTGCATCTCAATGATCGCATTACATTTACAGGAACTAGTTTCTCAGCAGCGGCGGAATTTTACTTTGCTCCGGTTAGTAGCACTGCGCCGAAAAGTAAACACAGAACCGAAGCGCACTACAGTCGGGACTACCTGCACTACCTCTCTCTCTCTATTAAGGTAACTTAATATCACTCCGCCGCTGCTGTAGACTGTGCTAATAAATACAGGGAACAAAGTATAACTATTGCAATGCGAGGAAACTGTGGAGTGGGTAAAACTGTTTTTAATGGCAGGCTAGCAGTGTTACCGTTGACTCGTGCTGGCCTAGCACCGGCGAACTATGCAACTGGAACGACTGGATGAATCTTTTTTAAAACTGTCTCCACTGATAAATAACACTAAGGCTAACTTGTAAATGAGGTCCGATGTCCAAAATCCTGAACCACCCCTTTAAGGCCCATTCTTATAGCCTGGGAAAACCCAGACAACTTCCGGCAAATTTAGATTTGCTCTGAAAGTTAGTCTGGCGAAGAGCTCATTCAAGCCCATTTCCAATCTGTCGAAATCGCGGCACCAATCAGAAACGTTGGGGCGGGCTTTACACGATGACGACAGCGCTGGGATTTTGAAGCAGATTTTGTAGCCTACATTACAAAGATGGATGCCGCCGTCGAACATCACTCGTTCGAATCAGCTATCGCGTCTGTTTTAAGCGATTTGAACGTTTCCTTTTTGTTAAAAACCGAGCAAAGAACAACACTCGGAGATGTTTCTCCGCCGCTCTGCATACGTCATCTCCTTCATCGCTCTGATTGGGTTTAGGTCTATCCGTGACGTCCGTTGGTGACGCCCCTCTGGAAATGATTTGTCTATGACGCTTTGCCAGACCATAACTCATTTAAAACTGAGAATGGTCTGGTTTTAACCAGGCTACCATTCTTACCAAGGACGATAGCAATAACGATAAAGTAGTGCTGGGCAACGATTAATCGTGATTAATCGCATCCAAAATAAAAGTTTGTGTTTACATAATATATGTGTGTGTACTGTGTATAATTATTTTGTATATAAATGCACACATGTATATATTTAAGAAAAATATGTTATTTATATATAAAATGTTTATATTTATATAAAATATACATTATATATAGGCTACATTCACTCTATATACAGTATATACATGCAAATATTTCTTAAATACACATGCATGTGTGGGTATTTATGTATTAAAAATAATTATACACAGTACACACACATATATTATGTAAACACAAACTTTTATTTTGGATGCGATTAATCGCGATTAATCGTTTGACAGCCCTAATTTATATATTTAAGAAAAATTTGTTATTTAGATATAAAAGATGTATATATTATGTAAAAAATGATATAGTCTAATTTACATTTATACATTTAAGCTTACAGCTATATATTAAATCGATTAATCGCATCTAACATAAAAGTTTGTTTATATATATGTGCACACACACACACACACACATATATATACAGTATATATATATATATATACATACAGTATACTATATATATATCCCAGGTAGCAACATAGTGTCGGCCCAGATCCGGCCCACATTTGGTATGTGTGGATTCCATGTGTACCAGATGTGGGCCGGATCTGGGCCGACACTATGTTGCTGACTGGGATATATATATATATATATATATATATATATATATATATATATATATATATATATATATATATATATATATATATATATATAAAACCAGTATATATCATTTAAATGTAATAGTTGCTGTGGTTGAGATCATCAGCTGTGCTTGTATATCCACTAACAGAGGCTTCATCCAGTCGTATGTTTGCTAGCGTTCCTCCAGACCTCCGTAAAGCGTTGTCTCAGGAACCACTCACTGCAAACTTCCACCACTACGGAGTGACTAAAGAGGTACATGCTTTATAAACACACCATATATGTTCATTTAAATCATTCTAATCTAAATAACAAACAGCGAGCAATGAGCTCTTCCTCTTTCTCAGGCATTCATGGGTAACGAGAAACTGAAAGGCTTCTTCTCAGTGCTGTCCACAAACATAGCAGAAAACGGCCTTGAGTTTGTTTCCACAATGGAAGGTAAAAACAACAGCAACATATTTTTTACATTACAAACAGTGTGGATGAATGATGTGTGTCTGCAGGCAGGAATCACCCTTTCTATGGGGTTCAGTGGCACCCAGAGGTGAACCGCTTTCAGTGGGACCCGCGCTACAACTTTCCTCATTCCAGCAATGCTGTGCGCATCTCATCCTTACTGGCTGAATTCTTTGTTAATGAGGGTAATTACAGTCTCTCACTTGTTTACTTGTTTTATTTGTGATGTTCCTTGTTTGTATACATTTGGATGAAGAAATGCAGTGCTAAATGAACACATGCATCTGTGTGTTTTCAGGAAGGAGAAGCACACACCACTTCAGTGAAGCAGCGGAAGAGAGCAGCGCGCTCATATACAACTACAACCCTGTTTATGTGGCAAACATCTCTGCATATGAACAGACTTATTTCTTCTGATAATACCAGACGGTGTTGAGAAAGAAACCCCCTTTCTAGACACTTCAGAATGACAAATTACTGTAATAATCACAGACCTCATATTTAGAGATATAATGTTTTTAACAGAGAGATAAATTAAATGAAATATTTTCTTGGATTATTTTGTGATTTATGCTTACATATTTAATTCCTTTAATACATTTTATTAAATATGCTGGGTTTTAAATGAAAAAAAAAATATATATATATATGGTAGCACTTTATGTACATACTATGTACTAATTATAGTGATTGCAATAACTGGGTAATAACTAGGTACTAACCCTGAACCTAACCTTAACCAATGTAGTTCCCTTATATTACCCAGTACTTTCTTAGGTATGTACACTGTAAGAACACATACTGTAAAATCAAGTGCGACCAAAATTACACATGACAAAACATCAACGAGGGCAGCATTGAGGTCTCCGGTTCGAGTTTGCATGTTCTCCCTGTTACTCCGGGTGCTCCAGTTTTCCCCACAAACAGTTTTCTCCAAAAACATGCCGTATCGGGGAATTGGGGACGCTAAATTGTCTGTAGGTGTGAATGCGTGTGTGTGTGTGTGAGTCCCACGCCATGAACAGGTAAGGGTTGGGGAAAGACCTGGTGACCAACCCCGGAAAAATCACCGGCAAGAAAATTCCTGTATGGCAAGAGATGGACATCGCATTAGACTGAAATGGTTAATGAAAGGCACTTCATGCTTTAAGTGCCAGAAGAGGGCAGTATGGTCTCACATGGCATGTTTATACCTATGCTATATTGATTCTTTTTTTTTCTTCTTGTGTTGTTTTACAAAAATAACCTACAGAATTTGTTTTACAATAATGATAAATATACTGTAGTACATTATTTTAACTGGATTATATATTTATTATTGTCTGTGTATGCCTATATTTACACACACAGACACACACATATATTATATAAACATAAACTTTTATGTTAGATCCGATTAATCGTGACTATTAAATGTGTTATTCCTGCATGCTAAGAAATTGACTTTGTTTACTGTTATAAATAAACCTCGGCAGCCACAACATCATAAAGAAATGGGAAGGGTATCGAGGCCCTTAGGGGCCCCTCAGGACCAGGATCTTGAAGGCTAAACTTTATTTACTTGGGCCTCTCCTATATCTCAGTACCACCGTATTGTGAGCCATGAGGCTGGGGTCTTTTGAGAGTACTGGGGCCCTTTGACGGCCCCTGCCATATCACAGAACCATGCATAAAGCTGGGTACTTTTGACTCAAACCCAAAAGCCCAACATAATCCCAACGAACAGGGAACGTTTTTAGATCTTATAACGTTCTGGACAATGAAAAATCTTTCTTCCAGTTAATAAAAACGTTATACATTTCTCACAGAGCGTCGTTTCGTTTCGAACGTTCAGAGAACATTCAGAAAGAATGTTTATATTGGAATTGGAACGTTAGCAAAACGTTCTTAGAACATATTTTTTTGCTAGCTGGGATGGTAATAATGAGTCTTGCTCCGGCAAACACCACTCGCTCTTCCTGAAGAAAATCTAGTTTGTGTAATTATTTTGTAGTCGTTATTTTGAATTACGTTGCTATTGTATTTATATTCAAATTGATTTAATTTCAACTAATACATAATATTTAACGTGCTACTTGTATGTGTGTCCATAAGTGAGTCAGAGATGACAGTGAGGATGTTGCTGGAGAAGATTGGCTCTGCTCGGTGCTCATCACTCGGGCTGGGAGGGTCTTCTTTAACTCGCTCTTGTTTAGTTCTCAATGGATGCCAACATCAGCCACGACGCGCGAGCACATGAAAAACCACGCGCATCGCACATAAACGCGCGCGAACGGCACAATATGACCCGAATGTCGTGAATGTGACTGTATTTACTGACTCGCATCGTGTGAGGAGGACTGTGTGTAGTCAGATGAATCCAGATGTGCTGAATGGCCTGACAGAGCGACATACAGACAGAGGGCACCATCTCTCTGTTTATAAACACACATCTGCTCATAGGAAGAATCACACGGGTGGATTGATGCACCCTTTCCAGTGGTGCAACGGTAAGATCACCTTTATCCTTCCTGGAATAGAGTGGGATTTTATAGGCTATACCATATTAAAACACAATAAAAGATGGGAAAAGGTTGAGGGTTTATATACACAAACAATGGGTTCTGCTAAATGGGTCAATGACAAATAAAGATGTCTGAGATGATGATGAGGAGAAATCTAGTTTGAAACGCACGTGCCAGGTCTCAGAAATGTAAAATTTCTATCCATATTGGTTTCATACATTTTGAAAAACGTTTATTCCACAATCTCTACAAAAAAAGTTGGATAAATGAGTCCAAATGTCAAGTGGTGTAACCATACTAAAATGATTTCTTTATACACTGAAAACTCTGCACAATTTTTTCAAAGTGATATTTTTCAAATCACATATCTTAGAGCCATGAATATGTAATAGTTAATAATATGTAGGCTATTTTTTACAAAAGATAAATATCCATATTTATAACTTTATAAACTATAATCCTAGTCGCAGATTAAAATGCATGTTTGAGCTGCTTCACCTTGCACTGACAGATCTTATCTATATATCTATATATATGTCAGTGCCATTGTTCTGTCTCAAGATGCACACCAGTCATGTTTTTTTCTAAGGCACGTTGACAATTGAACCAAGGCCTAATCCTGGCTTAATCTTAGACCTGTCTATGAAACCAGGCCATAGTTTTCTCGTCACATTACAAAAAATGGCTTTCCTGCTTGCTAGTTGCACCACACTGGACAAAATTCATATTAATAAATTGTAATTCATATATGATATATTATTTAAAATAAATGAGCTAAATCAACAAATAATACTAATTTTAAAATAATAACATTAATTCAGAAATTGAAAACATTTATCATTGTACAGGTATGATATTTTGTTATATATGTGTTTTTGAACCACTTAATAGATGTCAAATCATTGACCAGATCTTTATCCACTTTATCCACAAATGTTCATTGTTGTCTCTAACTGTTACAGTATTGTAGTAATAAAGCATATATGAGGACCTCACACCCACTTTTAATGCAGTGCCATGAAGATTTTGACGCTTAAAGGGACAATCAGCCGGATCATGGAATATTTGAATAGATTATTGATATTTTGTGGCATTCATCTGATTCATCATACAGATCTACTTCTCATTCCGTCTCGAGTCTTGAGATTCATTTAAGGCTGCTGAAAATATTTCGATTACACCCTTGTTTCATATTTATAGGTCATTCCATATTTGTCTTGAAAGCGCTTCATAGACGAGAGCCCCATAATCTCTTGGGGTTGTTAATATTTCATGCACATTTTCAGTCTGCTTTTTTGACCCCTGTGGTGAAAAACAAGTATTTAATGTTGTTTATGTGTCTGTGATGGACAAACCATGTGCAAATTTACAGTCAACACCATTATTTTCTCCTTAAACCGGCAGTGTGTGAAAGATCTCCGCTGGCAAATGGTGTGTTTAAGGATCTGGTTCCCCAACACAAAAGAGCACAGTTTAAATCCCGAGAAAGGGAGTCTCGCTCCGCAAACGTCTTTCTCTAGTGTTCTGTTACTGAACAAATGTGTCTGTTAAATGGCCGGCAACTGTAGTGACCTAGTTTTGCTTGTACATTTTTACGCTTGTGTCTCTTCCACACACCCCCTCATCTTACCTCCTGCTTTATTTATTTATTGTTGTACTGCTAACAACACAACCACTTGTAAGAAATGCACTTACTTGTACTGAATTGTTGTGTACTTCAAATCTTATATCTTGTAAGTAGTATATTTAAAAAAAACTGCTACTATTATGATATAATATTAATGAAATAAAAGGTGTGCTTAAGAGATACACTTTTCTTTGTAATAATGTCAAATTAAAAGTTTTACATTAAAGATAAATCATTATGTTTAAATAACTTTTAAGTACACTTATTTTGATGTGTTGACTAACATAATAAATCACAAGTACTTTTGTGTTTTTTGATATTACATTTTTGATATTTTAAATGTACTTAATTGCAACAAATACATACAGGTTCCAATAAAAACAAATGTCATTTATATTGAAACTTTTAATAACATTTAAATACAAGTATATTTTAGTTTAGGTTACATTTTACTTTAAATAAAAAGAACTAACTGTAACTGTAACTGTAAATATACATTTAAGAACTGAGTAATAATAATTAACTACATGTACTTACTATAGGGTTAGGGTTTGGTTTGGTTTAGGGTAAGTTTGTTGCATGTGCAGTGTTTCCCACAGAATTTGATTCTATTTGCGGTGGTGGGGTGTCGGGTGGGGCGGGTTGGTTTTTTTCGGGTGGGTCGGGGTGGGTTGGTGTGGGGGGTGGTAGGGGGGTTAATTAAGGCACAACAAAAGGGTTAAATATATCATATATTTTTATTGACACGTATCTTTCTATGACTGCTCCACAGACTTCTTGTTGCAAATTTTGCACCCTTTGTTTGCACATTTAATTTTACGGGACTTTCTGAAAAAATATTCCAATGCCCTATCATATGGGAAGGCCTCAGGACAGGGTCCATTGATGGAGATCCTCAAGCAGGCAGCCAGGTGATCTCCTTGAAGCTGGTTTCGGAGGTCTGTTTTCACCTAAGGACAAAGCAACAACAACAAAAATTCCCACAAAATGCACTAAAATAAATAAAATGTATAATTTGATTGAATTTCGCAAAAACTCCCATTTATCACAAAAAAGGTTTTACGCTCGCGTGAGGTGGTTTTTCAGGCAATTCGGATTTTTTTTTTTTTTGCAAAACTGCAATGGAAACAGTTTTTGCGCATTTACAGTCACCTGACTTAGAAAGCGCAGTGTGTTTGGACAGAATACGAGACAGAGTTCTTTATTAAATTCATAAAAGACAAAATAATTACAGGAATACTGGATTCTAAACCTTAAAGAAATGCCACAATCAAGAGCTCGGAGCAGAAATGAGTGAGAAAACACCTCATATGTGCCGCTCACAGTATAAGGGTCTTTCCTTGTCATTAATGCTTGGGTAACACGCGGCCTACGTCTCTTTACATTAATAGGCTAATGATAATAATGTCTAGTGCGGTGGCTGTGAAATAAACCTACCAACGTCCGTTGCCATGATTTTTGGAATGACTGATCGCGAGAGGAAAAAAAGGACGTTTTAGTCGCGCCGTCATTTCGCAATAGTTTTTTTATCGATATTTAGAAAAAATCTGTAATGGAAACGCGACAGCGTTTAACATAGACTAACTTCTCAGAGTTATGTTGTGCGTATACTAACCTTTCAACTCCGGGTCCGGATTGATTTCTGGAATCTTCTTCGCTGGGGAATAAGCACCATCCTCCTACGCATGCTCATGTTTTGATGCAGATCGTGCTCGAGGAGGAGGAGGGGATATTCGCGCGCGCGCCTCCGTTGTCAGTTTGTGTGTGTGAGAGTGAGAGAGAGGGAGGGAGCAAGCTAGCTGCGCGCAGCTCTACAATAAAATACTATTTACCCATATTAAATAGTTAAAAATTTGAGAATCAATCCGTGGCGGTCAGCGTTGCTATTGTGGCGGGCCGCCACAAATTAATGAATGTATGGGAAACACTGATGTGATTATGCATAATTTATAGTTATTACTACATTAACTCACGTGTAACCTGTGTAACAAGGACACTGTAAAATAAAGTGTTACCTTTAGTTAAGCATAAATACTTGACAGTAGAGATGATGTACTTAAGAGAGTTGAAAAAAACACTCTTAACTTCACCTAATAATTACATTTAATATGAATTTAAACTATAATACATTTTCATTGAATTAAGTTTCAGAAATGCATTCAGTTCACACGTAAATAAATAGCTTATTCGTTTAAAGTTTTTAATTTCTTTAGTACTCTTTTTCAGAAAGTCGACTTCTTTTTCACAAAAGAAAAAAAATAAACAGTGCAATGTAGGCTAACTAATTCAATAATAAAAATACCAACATAATACCATTCATTAATAATACAAATATTATGCATACATAAAATGATTGCATTATTAAATCATTTATTATGAAAATTAATTATGATCAAATAGTTAATAAAACCAAAATACTATGGTAAATATGGGCAAAAACATTTAATATAAACTGTGTGGGACAAAGCAACTGTCACGGTGCGTGTGGAAATAATTCCGTGGATTCAGGTGCAGAGCGAGAAAGTGTTTAATAAAGACAAAACATAAAAACAAACAAACCAAAAACTACATCCAACAAGGCAGGCAAGGTAAGGCAAGGCAAGCACGGCACAAACACAACGTAACAAATACAACGAACGAGCCCAGGACAGCAAACACAGGAAGACTAAATAGGGAGGCAAACAAGGAGGATAACGAGACAGACAGGTGGAGCAAATAAACCAATAATCAGATAACAAGAGGGAGGGGTCAAACAATGACGAGAGCACATGGCTCAACATAACAAACACCCATGTGCAATACAAGACCGGACAGACATGTGACAGCAACAGATAATATGTTTATCAAGCTGATATATAAGAAAAAGAGCAGATTGATAATCGACTAGACTGAGGAATCGTCTGCCAGCATTTGGTAATATTTTCACATTAAACAAGAACTGGAATGGGGGAAAAGCCTCCTATTTTAAATCAGTTTTCAATAATATATTTAACTCTTTACTCGAGTTCTCGAGGACATTATGGGAGTGTGAGAATGAAGTGGAGAGACTGAGATTATCGAGTTCCTCTCTAGGAAGCCTGACTTGAGGGAGACGTCACGTGTCTCACTTTCAGCAGAAATTATGTTAAATGACAATGTTATTGATTTCCGCTGGTCCAGGAGATTGCAGAAATGAAAAAGCTGCTGTTTATTTGTTTCAGTTGTCAACTGGGAACAAGAATACCAAGTGCCACCCTTGTCATTTATTAAAAGGAATAGTTGAAAACTCACCCTCATGTTGTTCCAAACCTTTCTTTCATCTATGATACTTAAATGAAGATATTTGAATGAAATCTGAGAAATCTCCGTCTACGCAACTACAACTTTGACGCTTCAGAAAGTTCATAAAGGGATTGTAAAACGAATCCATATATGAATTAAACGGTTTAGTCCAAATTTTCTGAAGAGACACGTATTTATACGTTTATATGATGAACAGATTGAATTTAGGCTTTTATTAAGCGCAGTTCTTTTTCACATTGGGAGGTTCAAGGGTCACTGGATTCTGCGACTCATAGAAAGTTTTAATGAGGATTGTTAGCGGTCAGTTCACACACACCTGTGTTTCCTCTTACGGAGAATCTAAACATATGACCAGGGCTTGACATTAACATCCACCAACCCGTCAAATGTGTGTGTATTTCATCAGTGGTGTGTAATGCAGTTACATACTAGCCATACTTTGGCGGGTTGAATTCTATATATAATATGTACATTTTTCAACTGTAGTCTTTTATAAAGGCATCTGAAATAATTAGTGCAATGTAGTATTGTCAAAAATATCGATTTTTCAATACATATCAATTCTGAAATATCTGAGATGCGTCCAATTCTCATTTCTGCAGAATTGACACACGATACCAGCTACTCTCTCTCTCTCATCTCTCCGACAGCGAGTGACACACAAACCCGCCTCTCCTCACTCACTCGATTCATTTGCTCCGGATGAATATTGCTGGTGTTACAGGGCTTGAGTTTTGACTTGGGATTGCACATATTCAGCATTATTTTGCGCTCACACCCAAAGTACGTCACATAAAGCCATCCTCTTAGTATTAAATTGAGTTCTTTTTCGCTGCTTATTGCTCTTAAACAGTCAAATACACACAAAATAATGTAACAATGCCGGTCTTGGCCAGTATTTATGTAAACGCAGTCAGTTTTAAGTGAACATATACAGTTGAGAAAGAAAACGCATGTGTAACAGTGTAATGGATCCGTGCGTCAGGTCTTAAAGTGACAGCAGCCTAATATATCATCTGCCAAATTATGAGATAATATTAAAAATATCTATATGAAAGTCATTAAGAATCACTGTTTTTGGCCAGTGAATGGTGGAATCAAGTCTTATTAAACACGTTAAGATTAGTCATTAAACTATATTTGCTATGTATAAGCTGTGTTCTGTTTTTTGAATTATGTGTTGTTTTCCTGTTATACTGTTTTGGTGATCAGATTTCACTTGACTGCGCTCTGAATCCCCTGTACTTGCGTGTATAGGGTGCTTCTGCGGTTTGGGACTGATCTACTCCAATAAGACCTGCACTATGCCATCCATCACCTTCCAGGACCTGCCTCTCAATATCTATATGGTTATCTTCGGCACAGGCATCTTTGTCTTCGTACTCAGCCTCATATTCTGCTGCTATTTTATAAGGTAAATCTGATCTCATGTACACACACACACACACACACACACACACACACACACACACACACACACACACACACACACACACACACAGGTGCACAAGCATATCTATAAGAGGAATCTGCTGTTCTCACAGCACACATGCAGACGTCAGGGCGGTTCGTGTCACCAACACATTTGATGGGTGTTAATAATGGAACGATTGTATTACAGGACAATGAAAACTGCTTCAAATATCTGAATCAAAATATGCCAACATGTCAACTCTTTTTACAAGTCTGTCCTGTTTTTTTATTTCTTTATAATCCAGTTATATTTTATGATATTGTAGCCTTTTCTTTTAAGTTCATTTCTTTTCTTTTTCTTCTTCTTTATTTCCTTATATATTATATTATATCCTAGCCTTTTTGTTTCTTATCTTTCCCCCTGTCCTGTCCTATCCTTTTTGTTTCGTTTCTTTTCTTTTCTGTTCCTATATCCTATCATATATCATATACCACAAATCCTACCATACCCTATGTTTCCTATCCTATCCTATCTCATATATCCTATCCTTTTCTATAATCATATATCAAACACATCATATACCATAAATCCTACCATACCCATCCTATCCTAATCTATCCTATCCTATCCTATCCTATCCTAATCTATCCTATCCTATAATCATATATCCTACCATACCCTATCTTATACTAGATTATCCTATCCTATCCAATCCTATTCAATCCTATCCTATCCTATCCTATCCTATCCTATAATCATATATCAAACACATCATATAGTATATACCATAATCTATCCTATCCTATCCTATCCTTTCCTATAATCATATATCAAACACATCATATAGTATATACCATATATCCTAATCTATCCTATCCTATCCTATAATCATATATCCTACCATACCCTATCCTAATCTATCCTATAATCATATATCCTACCCTATCCTAATCTATCCTATAATCATATATCCTACCATACCCTATCCTAATCTATCCTAATCTATAATCATATATCCTACCATACCCTATCTCATACTAGATTATCCTATCCTATCCTTTCTTTTCATATCCAATCCTATTCTATCATATCCTATCCTATCCTATCCTATCCTATCCTATCCTATCCTATCCTATCCTATCCTATCCTATCCTATCCTATCCAATCCTATCCTATCTCTTCCTTTCCTATCCTATCCAATCCTATCCTTTCCTTTCCTATTCAATCCTATTCTATCCTATCCTATCCTATCCTATCCTTTCCTATCCTATCCAATCCAATCCAATCCTTTCCTTTCCTTTCCTTTCCTTTCCTTTCCTTTCCTTTCCTATCCTATCCTATCCTATCCTTTCCTTTCCTTTCCTATCCTATCCTATCCTATCCTATCCTATCCTATCCTATCCTATCCTATCCTATTCTATTCTATCATATCCTTTCCTATCATATCATATCATATCCTATCCTTTCCTATCATATCATATCATATCATATCATATCCTATCCTATCCTATCCTATCCGTTCCTATCCTATCCTATCCTATCCTATCCTATCCAATCCAATCCTATCCTGTCCTATCCAATCCTATTCTATCCTATCCTATCCTTTCCTATCCTATCCTATCCTATCCTATCCTATCCTATCCTATCCTATCCTATCCAATCCAATCCAATCCAATCCTATCCTATCCTATCCAATCCTTTCCTATCCTATCCTATCCAATCCAATCCAATCCAATCCAATCCTATCCTATCCTATCCTATCCTATCCTATCCTATCCTATCCTATCCTATCCTATCCTATCCAATCCTATTCTATCCTATCCTATCCTATCCAATCCTATTCTATCATATCCTATCCTATCCAATCCTATCCTATCCTATCGTATCCTATCCGTTCCTTTCCTGTCCTATCCTATCCTATCCTTTCCTATCCTATCCTATCCTATCCTATCCTATCCTATCCTTTCCTATCCAATCCTATCCAATCCAATCCAATCCTATTCTATTCTATTCTATTCTATTCTATTCTATTCTATCCTATCCTATCCTATCCTATCCTATCCAATCCTATTCTATTCTATTCTATTCTATTCTATCCTATCCTATCCTATCCTATCCTATCCTATCCTATCCTATCCTATCCTATCCAATCCAATCCAATCCAATCCAATCCTATCCTATCCTATCCTATCCTATCCTATCCTATCCTATCCTATCCTTTCCTATCCTTTCCTATCCTTTCCTATCCAATCCTATCCTTTCCTATCCTATCCTATCCTTTCCTTTCCTATCCTATCCAATTCTATCGCATATTTGATATCATATCCTATCTAATATAATTTCATATGTCATATCATATATCCTATCCTACCATTTTCCATTTCAATTAATTTAATTCATTATTTTCTTTTTCTTCTTCTTTATTTCATTATCTATCCTATTCTATCCTATCTCTTTTGTTTCTTTTTTTCTTTCCTTATATCTATGCTATCTTATCCCATTAATTTTTCATTATCTGTCCTATCCTTTTCTTTTCTGTCTATGATCTTTGTGTTTTTTTTGTAAACAATTGTAAAATAAAGTGTATAGATGGCAAAGCACAGATAAAAGTTTAATTTATTATTATTTTAAACTATTTCTCTGTTGACTAGTGTAACGAGGTTAGATGTTGTTGGAAGAACAGGAGACGGGAACCGGCGAACATTCAACAGATTATTTCAATAATAACATATTTAATAAAAATTCGTTTTAATAATAAATAAATGAACAAATACAAAAACGAAAGTAAAGACGGAAGTCCCTCACGGTCGACTGCCGCCACACATAATAAAACAAAACATAAAATAAAATCCAGGCCAGGCTTCTCTCGATCTCCACTGTCGTCGCTCCTCATTTTATGCTTCCGCTCCTCCGTGAGAGATACGAGACCAGTGCGTCGCTGGTCCCACGGCCCTCAACCTCGTCCTGCTCGCCACAACTATGTATTGGACAACATGTAAATCATGTCAAATGCAAATGAAAGCCCTTCAAGAATAAGCAATGCAGACGCTGAAGAGCTTGTGTCGTGAGCAGCAAACGTCTGATTCCACTGCCATACAAATCAGTGATTCACCAGTGAAACTGAACTCAGCTTTAATCCTGGACCTGAAAATGACTCATGCCGTGTCCATGTTACAGATTCAGTCACTTTATCTTGAGTAATCCCTCTCCTACTGTGAATGTGAAGAGCAGAATTCACATCAGACCATCTGATACAGCAATCACAATTACTTAAAATCAATCATATTATCCAAATATAGCTTTGATATTGCCAGTTTCGTAAGTGACTTGATACAATAAAAACAACAAGGCTGAAAATCATAAATCGAGTGAATTATACTTCTCATCATTTTTCAGTAATTGTATGCTTTATCTTTCCTATGACATCAATAGTAAACTGAGACACCAAGCCCAAAGTGAGCGCTTTGGATACAGAGAGGTAAGCGAGAGTAAGAAGGAATGCTTTAAAGAAGTCATCCCTGACATATTTGTCATGTTAGTCAGTGCTAATTGTACTAACTGTTGGCATTTGTGTCGATTGCAGGTTATTTTAAAAGGAGACCCGAAGAAGCTGAATCTTCATGGGGTAAGAAACTGCCTTGACTCCTTGAAAACCTGGAAATTTCAGGGAGTCGTCATGGAAATTAATCAAATGTATTTAATAGAAGTTTAAGAAATTTCTATAGTAAATATCTTTTATTTTTTATTTTTTTTATGCTCAGCTCTAAAACATTAAGGGCCGGATTTACTAACAGCTTGCTCTAGCAAACCCTATTTTTGTGTTAAAAGAAACTACTGTCAGGATTTACTAAAGACACGCAGTGAAAAATTAGCGACGAAAAGGTGAGGACAGAGTTATTTTTGAGGCTGACCTTAGAAAAAATAAGTATACTTCAAGTTAATTTTATTAAGTATACGTAGGTAAAGTTCAGGTATATTTTTAAGTATACTTTATGTAGGAAGTATACTAATATCAATGTACTAGAAGTATACTTGTAAGTGTATTGTTTCCATACTACTTTAGTTTACGATTATTTAATACTACTTTAGTATTACTATTTAGTTTACTACTAATACTTATAGTATACTACTATGTTTTTTTTTTTTTACTTGAAATATACCTTTAACTGTACTTTAACTCTTTCCATTTTAAAAACATTTTATTCTAGTTTCATGCATCCTTTTTTTTATCAACACTTGAACGTGGGTGAGTTTCATTAAAAAAAGCAACATTAAAAAAAAAAAAATCCATTGGTGGTGGTTGAGGAGATTCCCCCATCCATATGTAAAAGCGCTTTGAGTACCCAGAAAAGCGATATATAAATGATTAATTAATTATTATATAAAAACATAGATGGAGTAGATCGTGTTCATCAACACCTCCAAAGCCACAGTCCTATATCATCCACATTAAACAGCATATAAATCAAAACTGCCTAATGTTTCTGAATGAAATGTTGACCCAGGATTTAATTTTTCAGGGAAAGAGTTAATATCGCGAGATCGAGAGTAATAATATGTCACAATATTACTGCTTTTACTGTATTTTTGATCAAATAAATGCAGCCAAGCAATAGATTCTTATATATAATTTAAGCTTCCATGCATTTGTTTCCTCTTCTCCTCGTTGTTTGTGTCTGCACTCCTCCGTCCCTCTACAGCAGACGTGTGCCGTGTGCCTGGAGGACTTTAAGGTGAAAGATGAGCTGGGAGTGTTGCCGTGCCAACATGCCTTTCACAGGAGGTAATAAGCAGGAGTGAAACAGCTGGTGTTCATAAAGCTTCATCTGCTATTGTGCGAATGACGGGATCCGTAACTATTAGGGGTGTAACGGTTCACAAAATTCACGGTTCGGTTCGATACGATACACTTGTGTCACGGTTCGGTTCGGTACGATTCGGTACGTTTACGATACAGCAAAAAGAAAGAAATGCCAGAGAAATTTCCTTGATTTAATCTTTTTAATTATATTTTTATTAAAACTAACATCATAAAGTATGATATTTTTTAACTTTGAGCAATGATGGAGCTATACTTGACTTTTCTTAGGAGCTTATAAAGCAAAACAGCTCCTTGGACAAAATTAAATGTAATATTGTAGTAGTTATAAACAAAGGTTTATTTTAGTTCAGATTAACATTTGAGGGCAGCAATTGTATTCATAATGTCAAAATAAAACCGACGTGATGTTACTTGAAAGCATTATAGCCTACTATTCCTGCCAAACTTCCATGGTTACAGTTAGTAGTGTTACTACAGTAAACCCATGGTGAATGTTGCTGATCTGTGGACACTGGATAGTTCATTCATGGCACAATGTTTCTTCCTGGTTTCCACGTCAGCGCTGTTTGATCCGTTAATAACGGAGAAATGCGAATGTTTCTCACTAGATCTTGCAGCGATGTTATTACTTCAGTGGCGAATTCAAATGCTTTCTTTACTGGATTTGGCTGTGTAGTAACAGTGCTGATGATTAAGATCGGCTCGCGCTGTATTTGTCCAAACTGATAAACGGTCCTTCAACCACACAATAACGAGTGGTTTCGTTCCGCTTACATTACATTTGCCATTTGATGTTGGGCAATGTTGTGGTCACGCACATTATGAGCGCGCTTGCCACGCGTGACGCGCCTTCATTTGAAATAACGAAATTTTGGTCGGCAGGAAAAATGGTCCAACGAACCGTTCGGTTCAAAAATGCGTACCGAAAACCGAACCGAAAGCCTCGTACCGAACGGTTCAATACGAATACGTGTATCGTTACACCCCTAGTAACTATACTGGGCTGTTTCTCTTTAACACTCTCTCTTTCCTTTTGTATTTTGGCCCTTTTGTCTATTAATGTCAGATATTGCAGGTGCAGATTAGTACAAACCAAAATCTAGCAAAAGGGTAAATAATAGGGGTGTAGAGATACCCTCATGTCACGATTGAATATATATCACGATAATGAATATTATTGCGATAATCCAAGACGTATGATAAAAGGTTAACAAAAAATGCACTGCTAAATTTGGTATTACATTGTGTGTGTGAATTAATAGGCTTGGATTTGGTGCTGGAAACCCAACGCACAGGACAATAGAGACACCAGAATAAACATATTCATGATTCTGAAGCTGAAAATACAGAATTATTTTAGACGAATATGCTTGAACTGTCAATGACTAGATATATTTAAAATAATGTAGCACTTTTTACTGGTAACATCAGACATTTGGCCTTATCAGGACCCACAAATATTCCCCCATTGCATTATTATACACTATATTCAACATAATATATAGTAGTTTAATGTAGTAGTGACACTAAAAACTAATTTTTTTATTTTGGGTGAACTATCCACAACACATATTGTCTCTATCTACGATACATAGTTGCATTTTTGTATTGCGATATATTGTGACACGATATATTGTTACACCCCTAGTAAATACAAATACACGTGTGTTGTTGGACTAAATGCGAAGTGTGTGTGTTTGCAGGTGTGTGGTGAAGTGGCTGGAGGTGCGCTGTGTGTGTCCCATGTGTAATAAACCCCTGGGCGGATCGCCGGAGCAGAACCAGAGCATCGGGACTCTGCTGGACGAGCTGGTGTAGACGAACATCTGACTCTCTCTGGAGGCTTTTACAGACATAAACAGCCCGATAACTCTCTGATCCGACACCTCATTCTGAGACTGAACCTCACAGATGAACTCGGCTGGCACATTTTCTCAATTAAACACGAGGGAAACCATATATGCTCGACTGAAGAAACTTGAAAGGCTTTGTATATTTTGAGGAAAAGGCCTTTAATTTAACATTGAAGTCTAGTCAATGTCAGTTTGTATGCTAACTCAAGGCTAATTCACTACAGGTTCTCTGAGGAATTGACTGTAAAATAAGGTCTTTGATCAACACTACTTAAAGGTTTATGAAGAATTTGAAGTTGGAAATACTTGAGTGCTTTATGAACTACCATGAGGATTTGAGTTTCAATACTTGAGCAAACAAACAACCATTGTAGTCTTTAGAGGATTAGTTCACTTCAGAATTAAAATTTACTGATAGTTTACTCTCCCCCACGTCATCCAAGATGTTCATGTCTCCTTTATTCAGTCGGGAAGAAATTAAGGTTTTTGAGGAAAACTTTTTTCCATATAGTGACTTCAATGGGGTCCAAATGTCAGTTTCATGTGACCTTTCAACGTGATTACGTAATGTAGCGCATCACAGCTAGTGCAAGACAAGCATTTGTGGTTAAAACGTATATAAATGTTTATTTTGTTAGAAAATGTCCGCTGGTTTGGCTAGATGAGACTCTTATTCCTCGGCTGGGATCGTGTCGAGACTTTGAAGCTGCACTGAAACTGTAATTTGGACCTTCGACCCGTTGGACCCCATTGAAGTCACTATATGGAGAAACATCCTGGAATGTTTTCCTCAAAAACCTTCATTTCTTTCCGACTGAAGAAAGAAAGACATGAACATCTTGGATGACGTGGAGGAGAGTAAATTATCAAGAAATTTTTATTCTGAAGTGAACTAATCCTTTAAGTAGAAACTTTTTAAATCACACAGCTGTTTTACAATTGTCATCTGAGGTATCAATGTGTGTAATTTAAGTTGTAGAACAAACTGTGCCAAAAATGAAATGAAACACAGACCAAATTTTACTCCAAAACCCCTTAAACCCCATCTGAGACTCCTGTGAGAGAGGGTTTTAGGACTACAAACTGAACATTTCTACTGTAAATGCTCTACATAAGACCGGCTGATGGAGGAAACTGCATTTACAGCGTTCCAGCAGCAACAGCACAGTGCATTGGGCCCAAAGAAATTCATCACAGAGTGAATGAGTGTGTGAGTGGATTTTACATTCATCAGTAGTTGTGACAGATGTCGCGTTCATTCTAGATTATATGTGCACAAATCATCGACTGTCTTAAGAGATTTTAAGCAAACACTTCCACAGAAATGGGCTGCCAGTGAAAACACAAGTGACTTTCTTTTTGTATTTGGAGTTTTTCGTGTTTGTTCACTGTAATCTGTTTGCCATTGTTATCTGCAGTGTTTTAGTCAATGTTTTCACACCAAAAAAATGAACATTTGACAGCATTTATCTGTGCAGTATGTATCCTTTTTTCTCTCTCTCTCTCTCTCTCTCTCTCTCTCTCTCTCTCTCTCTCTCTCTCTCTCTCTCTCTCTCTCTCTCTCTCTCTCTCTCTCTCTGTGTGTGTGTGTGTGTGTGTGTGTGTGCGCGCGTGTGTGCAGCTGACCTTTGACCTGTTAACTGTCACATGTGGAAAACATCTGATCCTTAATGGTTGTAAATCATGAATGCTTTGGAATACAGATCTAAAGCAGATTATTGCAGAGGTGAAAAAAAGTTATAGAAGTTCAAGTTTACTGTAAAGCATATGTACTTTACAGTATTTATTTTATTTGATACAATATATATATTTTACATAATAATTTGCAATCTACAATTGCTGGTAAATCTAATTTGAAGTTGATATTACAAACATTTCGTTGCTGAGATTTTCTTTAGGCGCTATACCAAAAATAGCCACCGGGTGACGGTCGATCGGCCATCTTGGAACGGTTAACATGACGCTGTTCACACTATCACATGCATCACTCACTAGTAACAAATCCACAAATCAATGAATTTTCATCGAAAATGTAACAGTATTGTGCAGTCTAGTGCTGTAAAAAAATCAACTATATAACTATGCAGTATCCATATTATGCAAAATTATCACATTAATGATAAACTAAATGTTGTGAAAATCCTCTGCTAATGTCTATTGCAGATACAGATATTCATACACGTGAATAACTAGGGTTTCATTTGCACATTGACCGATTGATTCCAATATGGCGGACGCTCACGTATACAGAGACAGACACAGCCATAATCCATCCTTCCCAATTTATTTCAGCCTTTTCTTTTTCTTCAGCTCTTTCACTTCCCCCTTGGACAGCACATACACACGTTGACCAACAACGTGTTTCTCCTTTTGTGGTTTTGATTTTGAATGTATGACAACAACACAAAATACGTGACCTGAGGGCTTTCAGGTAAAAGATGAGATGCGATGTTGCCATGACAACATCACTTTCACTGGCGGCCCGTGAACATCCAGACGACAGGAGGTTTGTGAGGCTGAGGTTTGATTCGTTCAGGTTATTCATCGATTCGTCACTCGTCAACAGTGTTTTCAGAGAGGTCACCTGACGCATTTTACACGATGTTTAGTGAAATACTGCTGTTGTCATGTCATGTTTTTGATTACCGGTAACTTACATTGTGTCATGTGTTCATTATGATTCAAACATTTTGCGATCTGACAGAAGAAAAAAGTCAATGAGGCAAATATACAGGGCTATGTTCATATATAATCAACAACTTTAAATGAATAGTTTTACATTTCTCCATCGTTCTCCACTATGAAATCAAAATGGACAATTCTTGTTTTTTATGGAGTTGCAGTATTTATTATAAATGATTAATTCGTGCACATCGTTAGCCTATCTTTTTACATTCACGTGCCTCGTAATCTTTAATCAAAATAACTTTTCCTCCCTCTTGCAGCAACATCTCTTCTCTGATGACGTGTTTACTGGCGTGAGGGCGGGGCAACCTGTCACTCACATCATGAGATCGACCAATAGCAAACCACAACCATCCAATCAAAACAGAGAAGAAATTTGATTCAGAAAAACAGTTTTTCCCAAATAAAATAAGAATTTTAATGATAGCCCTATTGTCCAATCTTCAATAAATCAGTATCACATTCCATAAACAAGACCACTGTGTCAGTTATTGTATTGAAAACATCAGAAATAAATAATGAAACTTGGGAAGTAATACTGAAAAAGATTTCTTCTGACTCTTATTTACAGAACCAACACCTTCTTTGATTTTTTTTTATTTTTTATTTTTTTTTTATAAAGTAATTACAGGGATATAATATCGATTTATTATTTCAAAGTGAGGTTTTTTTTCTATACGAAGATGACTGACATTAGCAAAACTCAACAGAGGTCATATCCACAAATCTACATTTAAAGCTTCGAAACCAAATTTTATTTGTCTTTTGCTCTGAATTAAAGTCTTGCTGATTTCCTATGTAAATTTAAAAGAAACAAAAAAGCAATTAAAACATCCCAGATAAGATTATAAAGTCACCTGTGTACAGAGATTCCATGTTTAAATGAGACCTTATCCTATTTGAGACAAAACGCAAATTTATTTCCTTGCCTTTCTTTATATTTCTTTACTTTGTTTGCTTATTTATTTAATAATTTTATGTATTATCTGTTTAAATGTCAATACTCTATGTCCCTCGTACAAAGCAACTGTGTTCATTTCAAATGTCTTGTTAATAGAATGAATGTTAATTGTTGTTACTTGTAAAATGTTAATAAAAAATACAATTAAAATTAAATTACATGATTCAGGGAATAGGCCTATATGGACAAAAATAAGGAAGTGTCTTACAAAATAATTCACAGAATTGATCCTGCTCAGCATGTTTTGGAAAGATTTAATATACAAATTATTAATAATAATATAATTATTGATTATATTTCATATACCTGTGCATTTTGTGCTCTAGAAAAAGAAACTACTGTTTTTTCACTGTATTTACTCAAGATTATTTTGGGAAGACTTATAAACCGGAAGTGTGTATGATAGAAATGTGTGTATTTGATGTGCTTTTTTATAGTCAGAATGACAATTTGGAATGTAAAGAACAACATATTATACAGTTATTTATTTTGTTAGGAAAATACCATATACATAAAAAGAAGTGGGCTCAATGCAAACCAAATTTTTCACATTTTAAAATGACTTTAAATTATGTGTAAATCTTTTGAAAAAAAAAAGAAGAAAAAAAGCGCTGAAAACATGTAATGCTTTAAATTGAAAGCACTGAATTTTATGTAATTTTTCTATTTTTTCCCCTCTATTTTTATTTATTTATTTTCTTTCATTTCCTGGCAGCTAATGTAATGTGAGTAATACCTCTTGTTCTCATGGCATTACATACAAAATAATAATAATAATAATAATAATAAAAGAATAGGCCCACATGCACAGATATCGAACGGAGATTAATTACAGGTAATTTGTGTATATTTTCATATCCGTATTATTGTTCCCTACTTGAGTTTGTACATTTATATTATTCAATAAAAAAATAAATAAAAGCAGTGTCGCGCGGGTTGTTCGTCAGCAGAGGGCAGTGTCGCACAGGCAGAGCGTCAGTGAACATGCGAAGAACCCTCTCTCCAGTGATGTTTATTTCAGGAAACGGGACGGGGACACTCAGTAGTAAGTCCAACAACACTCTCGGGTGCTCCAGGAACCGCAGACGAAGGAGAGCATGCTGATGGTCGTGTGAACAGCGCATAAAGATGGTGTTCGAGTCAGTGGTGGTCGATGTCTTGAACAGGTTTCTGGGCGATTATGTGGTGAACCTCGACAGCTCGCAGCTCAGCCTCGGCATATGGGGAGGTAACGTACAGTAAACGTGTCAGCTGTCAAATACCAACGTGTCTTTGCTGATAAAAACGCATTCATGAATATACACAACACAGCTATATGGTCGTTTACGTTAAAAGAGTCAGCTGACCTTACACTGGAATCTGAGAGATATGCCTTTGAGGACAGGTTTGAACATGCGTTATATACT